ATTCTGTGCGATGCTGAACAGTTCGTAAAAGACGTAAAGATTGGAGAAATTAAGTGCGAAGCGTTGATTGACACAGGCGCCGCAGTCAACATTAGGACGTCAAGAATTTACAAGCAGGTAGGTAGTCCGCAACTGAGCGAGACTAGAAAGATTTTGAAAGGTTTTGGAGGATGGATGACAAAACCAGATGGTCATATCACGTTACCGATGACGATAGATGGAAAGACGTACGCAAGTAAATTCTACGTTGCAAACGAAAAGAACTTTGACGTCATATTAAGGCGAGAGTTTCTTAACGACGTGAACATGACGATTAAACGAGGAAAGATAGCGTTTGACACGTTGGACGACGATGCATTGCCAATTATGCAGATCGAAGCAGAGGAACAAGATGAGATATTGCCAATTGAGACAAAAGATGTGAAGATGAAAGAAGCAGTACTAAAGATAAGTGAAGAAATGGAAACAGAAATAATTAAGAAGGTTCATGAAAGAGGACATTTTGGGCTAACTGAATGTAAAGAGGTAATCGAGGAAGAATTTTTTATTAAACGCTTGGAGAAAAAGCTTGAAAGAGTTATAAATTGCTGCGATGAATGCATTTTATTAAACAGAAAGATGAGAAAAAAAGAAGGATGTTTAAATCAATTGTCAAAAGAAGATATGCCGCTTAAGACTTTACACTGTAGCGTGATCTACATTTATTTCATCGTCTGAGCTTTGTGGTTGATCCGTCAAGGATGTTTAGTCTACTACATTTTCGTACTACCATTGTATTTCAATACATTTGTTTAGTCTGAACGAAACAAAGACCAGACGATGAAAAATTGGGATATAAAAGGGACACCTCCGGCTCGGGGAATCAGAACAGTTCGTGAAATCTTCGAGTTCGTTTGGTGAAGAAGCAAGTACAATATTAACGCACACCAAAGTGGTGACCCCGACGTGATTGAAATTTCTTTGTGTGTGTGTCCAAAAGCAACTAGCTCAAAGCCAAGATGTCTCCTAAAAACAGCACCAGCAGCACAAGCAGCAGCAACGATACTCCAGCCCACTCATCAGCAGTAAGCATCCACCTCCCGGCATTCAACAGTCAAGACTTAGAATTATGGTTTGCCCAAGTGGAAATGCTGTTTGATATAAACGGGTGCAACGACGAAGGGAAACGTTTTACATCCGTGGTGGTGGCGCTCGGCCCCCAAGAAGCAGCAGAGATGAGAGATGTGATCATCAATCGACCGGCAACATCACCGTACACAACTCTCAAAATGGAGCTCCAAAACGCGTGGCGCTACAACAAAAGACGATGCAACTTCTCGAGCGCGAAGAACTTGGGGATCGAAAACCTTCGCAGTTTGTTCGCCATCTTCGCCACCTAGATCCAACAGCCTCGGATTCAATCCTTCGTTCGCTCCCTACTCGCAGCTATGCCAGCAAATCTACAATCGTCCTTTAGCACCTTTTTCGAATCGCTCCTTGGAAGACCTTCTCTCAGATTTGCCGACTGCTCTCATGATGCTTTCTCGCGAGCCTACCACGACACGTGATTTGCCGCACTTCACAACCTCGTGGGAAAATGATCGGATGATGCGTATGGAAAATTCATTATCCATGCTGCAAAAGAAGTTGCCGACCTTACCCAACAAATACGAGAACTCCACACCGCCTCATCACGGCAAGAGCAGATTCCGCAATAGATCGAACAGCCAACCAAGATCAAATCCAAGGAACCGGGTGTGTGCTGGTATCATCGAAGTTTGGGAACAAATCTACAAGATGCACAACACCTTGCACTTTCGCCCAGAAACGACGCGGAGCGATCGTTAGATCAGACGAACAGCGACCACAGCCCACAATTTTTCTCGCCGCATATTCCTGCTAGATCGTAACTCCGGTAAGAATTTTTTAGTAGATACGGGCGCGGATATTAGCGTATGGCCTAGAAGATTCGTAGATGGACCTCAGGCGTAGACCGACTACGGCACTTGTCTGCTGCTAACGGTACGTGCATCAAAACGTTCGGCACAAAAACAATGGCGGTGAATTTCGGACTTCGTCGCGAGTTTTTGTTGGTGTTTTTATTGTGGCGGGCATCACTATCCTATCTTGGCATAGACTTTTGGAACATTTTAATCTAATCTTGGACATCAAACAAAGTGCCGTGAAGACTCATCAACAAATATTGTGTCCAAACGGTCGCGTAGCTCAGTGCGATACCCCATCAGTTAAATTAGTGACTTCAGTGGAAAAATACACCGTATGCTACGTTGTTAATAGAAATTCCCGTTGATGCGACCTGGTGGTAGCCAATGCGAGGTAAAACACAATACCGTCACTACATAAAAATCCTCAGGACCTCCAGTGGCGCACAAACCTCGACGACTTGCACCAGACCGATTAGCCGCGGCCAGGGCAGAATTCGACGTCGTGGTAAAACTCGGCATCGCACGACCATCCAGCAGCAGTTGGGCAGCTCCACTTCATCTAGTGCCCAAACCCGACAATTCATAGGCCGTGTGGTGACTATCGTGGTCTCCAACTTGCACGCACCGAACCGGACCTTTATCCCGTACGGCATCTGCAGGATTATTTGCACGCGCTGGCAGGAAAATCTGTTTTTTCTACGATAGATTTAGTACGTGCGTTTAATCAAATCCCAGTTGCTGAGGAAGACATTCCAAAGACAGCAATAATTACTCCTTTTGGTTTGTACGAATTTACATACATGACATTTGGGTTACGTAACGCTGCGCAAACATTCCAACGATTCATGGACGAAGTACTCCGGGGTTGGATTTTGCTTTGTCTACATTGATGATATTCTTGTCGCATCAGAAAATGAAGAACAACATCTGACGCACCTCGAGACACTTTTCAAGCGTTTATCGGACTATGGTATTGTCATCAACACGCAAAGTGCAGATTCGGAAAAGCTGAAGTGGTATTTCTCGGTACCAGGTCACCAAGAATGGGACAATGCCTTTACCCGAGAAAATCGCGGCCATAACCAAATTCACCCGGCCTACCAACGCAAAAGGATTACGGCCTTCCTGGTATATTTGTTTTATCGCCGATTTATGAAGAATGCAGCTGACCAAACCCTATTGAATGATCTACTTCGAGAAACATCAAAGGGAAGTACCAATAGAATGGACTCTCAAGTAGCAATTTCCGCCTTCGACACATACAGGAAGCTTGCAAAGTACAACTTGCTAGTGCACCCATGCAGTTCAGCCCCGTATCTCTGACTTGCGATGCTTCCGATGTGCAGTTGGCGCAGTACTGCAACAACAAGTTGATGGAGAATGGCAACCATTGGCGTTTTTCTCAAACAAATTAAGCAAAGCGGAACAAAAGTACAGTGCATTTGATAAGATACTGTAATTTATCCCGAGCTATCAAACACTTCAGACATATGGTAGAAGGTCGCGACTTTGCCGTTATAACGGATCATAAACCGTTGATCTATGCAATGAAGAAGCGGTCGGATACCTGTTCACCACGGCAATTCGTATGCGTTTTATAAGCCCAATTTTTACCAATATTCAGCACATTGCTGGAGCCGACAATACCGTGGCTGATGCCCTCTCGCGTATCGAAAGCGTCACCATGGACTTTGCGACATTAGCCAGTGATCAAAAGGACGACGTCGAACTCCAAGGTTTACTTCAGCACGGCACAGGGTTGAAACTCGAATACATTCCGATATTGGGTACAAACGACAAGGTCATGTGATACCTCATTATCAGAACCGAGGCCATACTTGACAGTAAACATCAGGCTTGAGCATTCAGTCGCTGCACAATATTGCCCCTTTTTCCGGAGCAAAGCCACCTCAAATTGGTTTCTCAAAATACGTATGGCCATCAATGGAAACGTGACTGTACAACATGGACAGAGTGCTTAGGGTGCCAACGAACAAAAACTTCTCCGACATATCTCTACCAGTGGGCCGCTTTATCGCTCCATCAGCTAGGTTTGAACACGTGCATATAGATTTAATTGTAATGCCATATTCCGATGGCTACCGATACTGCCTCACGTGTGGATCGTTTTACCCGTTGGCCTGAGGCTATTCCTCTGCGCGATCAGGAAGCAGAAACTGTTACGTGGGCCCTCTACACTGGATGGATTGTCAGGTTTGGGGTACCGCTAAGAATAACTACCGATCCAAGGAGAGACAGTTCGAGTCTCAACTGTTCCGACAGTTAAGTCGGCTTCTGGGAACCGAACACCTACGAACCACTGCGTATCACCCCTCAAGAAGCAAACTGGCATGGTCGAAAGAATGCACCGCCAACTGAAGATTGCCATCAGATGCCACCAAACGGCGGCGATGGACAAAGAATCCTTCCAACCGTGCTACTGGGACTTCGCAGCGCATGGAAAGAAGATCTAATGTCAACCAGCGCAGAATTGGTATATGGACAAACTCTTCGACTACCAAGTGAATTCTTGTGCCAGTCCAGGGGATACAACCAGCGAGGCAGAATTTGTTAAAGCTTTTACGGGATCACATGGCCGGTATGCGTCCAACAAGCCCGAAACACCATGGAAAGCGCAGTACATTTTGTCTACCACAGGACTGGATACCTGTACCCATGTGTTTGTACGAAGACAGCCAAAGCAGATTCTTCAACCTGCCTATGATGGTCCCTACCAAGTAATTAAAAGAGGTGATAAAGTCATAAAATTAGAAATAAATCGCCGCCACGTCAACATTAGCATCGACCGTGTGAAGCCAGCCTATGTTTGCAATCTGGCCCCATTGGAAGCATCAGAAGGAACCAACTACAGTCACGTTTCCCAAAGAGGCCCACTTCAAAGTCAGGATGAGGACAAATCAACGAAGGACGACTCAATCAATCGCCGAAAACTTCCGGTACTTCAACCAGATCAGGCCGCCAGTCCGGTTTTCCTGACTATTACTGCCGGGTGTCTATTAATGATCGTGTTACACACTCCGAAGGGGGTTATGGCGGCGTGATCTACATTTTATTTCATCGTCTGAGCTTTGTGGTTGATCCGTCAAGGATGTTTAGTCTACTACATTTTCGTACTACCATTGTATTTCAATACATTTGTTTAGTCTGAACGAAACAGAATAACCCCTTGTAGTCTGGGTACGAATCCCTTAATTCAAATCATTTGACATATTATACCTATCCGGCGGTAATAATTGCCGAGACCGTCTGGCCGACGTCTCGCCCTATTCACTATAGCTAATGTACAAACACAAAGACCAGACGATGAAAAATTGGGATATAAAAGGGACACCTCCGGCTCGGGGAGTCAGAACAGTTCGTGAATTCTTCAAGTTCGTTTGGTAAAGAAGCAAGTACAATATTAACGCACACCAAAAGACGTTCAACCATGTCATATGCCGAATTCCAACGTGTTGGAGAATGACTTATCATCCGGTGAGTTGGTAGATTATATTTTTTTGTGCATTTTCTAAAGCTGCACTGGCTTTATTTGAGTGTTTGAAGTGACCAACGATGGCTGATACTTTCTGCAGACAAGTTATTTTCTTTTAAAGCTTTTTCTACACTACACTGCAGAGTATGACAAAAACAACGGACACTTATTTCAATGTCATAAACAGCTTCCCAATTGTCTCGTACAGCAGCAACCATGTACCGAGCATTATCATGGACGACAGCAATTACTTTTTCATACAGATTCCAATCATGTAATGCTTTAGACAGGTGGTTGTATGTATTTGTGGCATTGTGACTTTCTGGCATTTCCAATATATTTAAGGTAAAAGAACACCAATTCCATTGATCATCAATCCCATGAACACTAATAGTTACAAATGAATTATTAGAGCGAGATGACCACCCATCCGTAGTTATGGATATTGATGGATATTGGAATCGATTCAAGGATGACAATAGTATCGTGTAATCAGGACAAACAGTTTGAAGGAATTGGAGAAGTCCAGGTCCTACTACAAATGACAACGGTAGCATGTCGATTGCGATCATTTCACCAGGGATAAAGTACAATTGCGGGATCGGTTTTTGTAGCCAAAATTCTTGGTAACCATTTTTTGAACTTGATTTTTATTTTCTCGTTTGTTGTCAATTCTATAAGTTCTTCTTCCAGCTGAGGTGACATTGCTGTGTTGACATTTGAAAACGGATCCAACACCCAGTCTGGTATTTCCAAGTTCAAAATGTCTTGGTATCATTCGGTGAAGTCAATGTGGAGGTTTTCCAAATGTTGGCAGTAGGCAAACAATTCGTCGTTACTGCATGATACTGATAAATTTGGAAAATTGTGAAACTCACGTCTGCCCAGATTCTTTTTGTGTAGAAGCAGTTTGGCTGCGAAAGCAGCAACGACGTTTTTTGTTTTAATTAAATTTAGTTTATCGCCTTGCAGTTTGAGATTCATGTCGTTGGACAATTTATACAGGTCTGTCATGTAAGCTATATCATTTTTTGATGTTATGAGCTTGTCGTGCAATTCTGTATCTTTAGTTTCCAAGAACTTTCCACTAACAGTCAAACAGGTTATAAAATCGAGTCAGACAATTGCCTCTTGATAGCCAACGAACTTCAGTATGAAACAACATATTGCAGTGATGGAAATAGTTTTTCACTTAAGTTTCTAACAACTAAATGTTGTCTATGAATAACGCAATGTACACCAAGGACATCTGGAATTTTATTTTTTAAGTACGCTATGAAGCCTTTATGGCACCCTGTCATAGCCGAAGCGCCATCCGTAGCAACTGAAATAATATTTTTCAAAGGAATCCCTTTCTCATCGTAAAACTTTTCCAATGTATTGAATATGGTATCACCTTTTGTATCGGTCTCTAAATTTCTAGCAAATAATAGTTCTTCACATATTTTCTCATCTTTAATAAACCTCGCGTAAGACAACAACAATGCTTCATTAGTTGGTAAAGTGGACTCATCGAGCTGAATTGAGAATTGACTTGTCCTCAGGTGATCGCACAATGATTCTTCAATGTTTTCAGCCATTTTTCATCAATTCGTCTTTGCACAGAATTATTACTCAAAGGAATTTTTCGGATAATATCTGCGGCCGGTTTATGAAGCGCAGTACTTATTACTTCATTTATTGCTGGCAATATTAACTCTTCTCCGATGTTATGCGGTTTGCCTTTTTGAGCAATTAACAAAGAGATATTGTACGAAGCTCGAAGTCAGTCGTCATCTTGCTTAGCAGCCGCCGAAAATAGTTTTGCTACACTTGGTTGTGTATTATGCTTCTTCTCTAGGTCTTGAAAATATACTACATTCTTGTCTTTCTTATCTGAATGCATTTTATTCAAATGATCTTGCAGCCTTGAAGGCTTCATTGCTTCATTCGAAAATGTTTTTAGACATAGAAGACACAAAGGCGGCGGGGTTTGTGGGATTTTCAATAAATCCGAATTTAATATATTCCGCACAGTATTGCCATCTCTTCTTTTTTACTTCCCACATTGTTTTGCTTTGAGAAATACGTTCAACTTCGCGAGTAGTGTAGAGGAGGCGTAAGTAGTGCTCATCTATTGCGCGCGAAACCACAAATGAAAATAAAATAAATATTACATTGTTTATATAGAAATGCTTAAGCAGCACGCACAGGAATAAAACAAACATGCATAAACTCGTTAATCTCATTCGACGCTCAATCGTACTCAACAAGTCCGAACAAGTATTCAATGAATCATCCGACTGATACAGGAATGCCCCCCTTGAGACCTGCAGCTCCCACAAGGGGGCGTTATCGCCCACTTTGGGAAAGACTGAATTAAATAATTAAAAACCAAAGAGAAATCAAAATTTACTTACTAAGAATCAGAACCAAGCTCGTCGAGAGGAGTCGTGGTTTTAAATTTTTCTGGGGGACCTATGATCTGGGTTTATAATTGTGTACCATAAATACTATGGAAAAGCCTATACCGCGCGGACTCCTTGTATCTGTTGGGTGCTGCCAAGCGGGATGATGTTGCTGGACCTTTGGAGATGACCACTTGGTTGCACGGCAATAATATGTTTTTATTATTAGGATGATATTTATTAAGGCAGAGCTTGTGATTGAACTTTTGTTGTGTACTGGCGTGAAGACAACCAGTCTTTCGGCCTCTGGTTAATGAACAGAACTTATTTAGAATTTGATGGCTTATATATGCCGTCCTACACAAAGACAGTTTCATTAGGGCGCACAAAGATTCTAGACTAAACATAAATTAAGACTAAGTAAAAATATAATTAAATACAAGAAAATTAATAGAAAGTTACTTCGGGTCATAACAGTAAATAATCCATCTATAATCTTAATCTATATCTTTAATATTTATCTTAAATATATATTTTATCTATATATTTAAGTTTTTCTTGTATCAATTCTACTTGATTTTCATCTTTGATTTCCTTGATTATTTTTAGGGTAACGTTCATGTTTAAGTGGATAAATCTTTCGAAAACAATATTCTTTTGCAGCTTCTGCAGTTTATCTTTCTAAACAACTCGTTTATTGACAATTTTTCTTTTTCTTTAGCATTTGTTCAGTTTTGGCTATTTTTTGTTGTTGTCGTTGTTCCTTTCGTTTCTGCATACCTTCTTCCTTTTCTTTCTTTGCTTTCTTAGTACGGAAACCATTAATAGCAGTATTCGGTTTTACGCACTTATCAATGGTTTTTTGCAACAGTGGCACAAAATTGACTTTGGTGAGAGCCCGAGATGGATTTTCACGCCGCCATTCTAACACAGTTTTCTGCCAACCACCTTTTAGGGGTCTAAAAGCCGAGACATCAGCAGGTTGAAGTAATCGAGTACAATTGAGATAAAGTGCTATTGGCACAATATCCAATGAAGAACAAAGCTCGCTGACGGCATAAGTGAGGTGAGTTTTGTGTCCGCTTACAAATAAAATTACCGGAAATGGTACTTGATTTCGCATGAGATGCGGATGTAACACTTTTTCAATGTATTGAGAGAAAATTTCTGTTTTCATCCAGCCATTGTTACTGAGCCCTATACCCCAATCAGATGGTATCTTTGATGCAATTTCACTTGGCAAGCGCTTGTATGAGAATATCACCATAGGTGGAGTGATTTCGCCATTGGCAGCAAATGTAAACATCACTGTAAGTGAAGTTTTAGCCGGGGCGTGGGCGATTTCGTAAACATTCTTTGCACCCTTTGGTGCTAAGACCACACCTGTCTTTGCGCAAAGAACGAAATTGATTTCGTCACCATTTAAGACTCTTTTCGGGTCCGATAAAATTTCAAACAAACCGTGATTTTTCAAATATGTTTCAATTGTGTGAAACCATCCTTTTATATAATTTTCTGATACGGCAGCACTTGCCGCTGTTACTGCTTCAGGAGTTCTTACAACAATATACGGGTGTCGTCTTAAGAAGAGTTTAAACCATTTATCTCCTGGAATGTTGTTTTGAATGGATTAGACCGGCCGCTTTTTTTTTACAAATTCTGATACGCTATTCAAAAGATCTTCTTTTCGTTTCGGGAAACCCTTTGTATGACTAACATTTAACCAATTTTTTAATTTATTTTCTTCGTCTTCGTTCAGTACTGGGCTCGGACCAGGCTGAGGTTTATGATCAGGTTTCTTAATGCGAAATTGTAACGTAGCCCGAGGAATCTGATATTGTTTCGCTGCTTGCTTTTTGGCCATGCCATTTTTAATCGCGTCTAATGCTCTTTTAATATTTTCCTCACTATATTGTTTTCTTTTAATTTTTTCTATTTTTTCTCTTGACTTCTTATAGCCTACTTTTTCATTTCTTTTCTTCATTGTATACAATGCACTCTAAAAGAATTAAAAACCCAATATTAGCACTCACTATTCTATTATGGGCACTACTGCCAATAATTAGCTTTTAGTTATTGGCACTAATGCCAATAAAATGATTTTGATAAATTCTTGATCCATATGTTGGCACATGTAATAAATCAATGTGATAAAAGATAGATTCAAGAAATAATCTTTGAATCTATTGCCTAAACGTGTAATTAAGCGTATCAAATTATTACAAAAGTATTTATTAGCCGAATAGCTGCGATATACAATGATTAAAAAAGGTCTCACCTTAAGAAAAAAACAAAATAACTACACCAAATCACTCACCCAAAATATCAGCTGTTGTATCTAAATCGCCATATTAGTTATTGGAACAGTGTAGCCAACTTCAAAAAGAAAAAACGTACTATTGTACAATTTAAAACATATCAAACTTGAATAATCTATGGTTTCCTTGTTTTTTCGAACTAAAATATAAAGTGCCAATAATTGGAGGAGTGCCAATTTACAGATACAAGGCCAAATATATCTAATGTGCCGTAAAGCTCCCAGGGATACAATCATCAATCATTGTTCAAATAGTAGATAATAACTTAAATCATCTGGAATTACTACAAATAAAAATTAGCAATAATATTACCATAACAACATGGTATAACCCACCTAAAAATACAATTCTTGCCAACGACCTTAATGTTAACATAGACTTTGGAATTGTTTCTCAAATGATGTAAATGGGAATGTCGTTATGAATTATGTGAGCGCAAGCAATGCTTGCATACTTATCCAAGTAATGGCAATAAACCGTCCACCCTGGATATTGGTCTCACTAAAAATATTGCGGGAAAAGCCACAACCATGAATGAGCTTAACTCTGACCATCTGCCTGTTTTATTCGATTTCAATTACCGACTCGCGCACGAAAACGAAATCATTCACAGATGGGACTACCACAGCGCAGACTGGAATTCATTTCGGAAAAAAATGATCGAAATTACGGAAATTCCCAATTCAATAAACTCGGCAACAGACTTAGACACCCAAGTTCAAATACTCACAGACAATATAATCACAGCCATGAATACTTACATTAAACGAAAGCGCATTTACAAACGTTCCTTTGACGAAATACCCACACAAACACTGACTAAAATAAAACATAGAAATGCAATTCGCCGAAGATAGGTACCAACGCAATGGAGATCCAACTCTACTCCGGAAATATACACACCTCTCCCTTGAAATTAAAAACGAAATTCAGGAACATAAAAACGAAGCGTGGTCAAACCGCTTAAAAACATTAACACCTAAAAACAACTCAATTTGGAAATTATTAGCGTCCATCAAACATTCTAACAATACGGTATCGCCATTAAAAAATGCAAATGACGGATTCGCGTTTAAAGCTATTGACAAAGCAACTGTACTTGCCAACAAATTCGCATCGATCTGTACCATTGACGATCGAATGACCAACAAACAAATTGAAATAGCTCAAGAAGTTGATAAATTTATTGCTACGAAGACACATACAAATCGCGGAAAATATTTCGTCAAACCAGCAGACATAAAGCGCATTATAAAAACATTACCTGCCACAAAGGCACCAGGGCCTGACGGTATACAAAACATAGTACTCAAAAACCTTCCGAAAAAGACAATTGTTCACTTTACAACAATAGTCAACGCAATACTTAGATTAGGGTATTTTCCAAAATTGTGGAAATTGGCAGAAGTAATCCCATTTCTAAAACCAAAAAAATCTCAACAAGATCCGAGCAGCTACCGTCCTATAAGTTTACTTAGTACTTTAGGGAAACTCACAGAACACGCGATTCTAGCAAATCTTAATAAAGAAGTACACACGCTAAATATATTGCTGCCTGAGCAATTTGGCTTTAGAAAGGGACACTCCACTACACATCAATTGACCAGAGTGATAACAGATGTCAAAAAAGCCTGGAACAAAAATGAAATCGTACACATGGCCCTATTAGACATTGAAAAAGCGTTTGACACAAATCAAGCAAGAGTTATTCCCTGGGCAATCACCCATTGATCGTCATGATATTACAACCAGAGTCTTTAGACAAAGGTTGAAATCTTTAATGTATTTCATTGTAAAACATAAAGTGTTTGGTGAGACACGCTGCTGTATTCTGTGAAGTCGCAGATACGATGATTGCCACATGAACACATTTTGATTTCGTTGGTGGAAAAAATAAGGCCAAATGAAGTTGATGCAGTGATATCAGTTAAAATCTTTGCATGATATAGTTACCAAAAACATGATACATGGTCCCTGTGAAACTCTTAATCCAAATTCACCGTGTATGGTGGATGGTAAATGTTCAAAGCAATATCCACGGACAATAATATCGGAAACAATTACTGGTAATGATGGTTATCCACTGTATCGTCGCCGATCGACAGCAGACAATGGAAGATCAACAATTGTCAAATTAAATCAACAAGATATTGAAGTAGATAATCGTCGGATTGTTCCATACTCACTTATTCTATCAAAGATCTTCGAAGCGCACATCAACGTTGAATCTTGCCATTCAGTAAAATCTATTAAATACATTTGCAAATATGTAACCAAAGGGATTGATATAGCTGTGATAGGAATTGGTGCAGAGAATTCCAGTGAGGAAGTTACCCATTACCAAATGGGCCGTTATGTTAGTAGTCATGAAGCAGTTTGGCGAATATTTTCTTTTTCAATTCATGAGAAATACCCTACGGTTGTTCATTTAGAGTGTTTTTTACAGCACAAAACATAGTACAAAGAGCTGCTCAGCCACCATCTACTACATTAACCAGTTTTTTTTTTGAGACATGCCAAAACGATGATTGTGCACAAATGTCAAAACATTATACTTGGGGCGGTTCACAACGAGGATCTGAACGAAAACCGATCCAGACAGTTAAGCCAAAGGAGACTCAAAGTAACACTGCTTACCCATTACGGAGTGTTTGAACCCCAGGGGGCCGCTCAGCACAAAGTCACTGTGGGCAATTGTCAGTGTGAGCCAAAGTCACTGTGGGGAGTATTCCCTGTGAGCAACTGTCCGTGTGCGCAATTATGACTGTGGGCAGTTGTCGTGTGAGCGATCGTCTTATGGGCAAAAGTCCGGGAACCGTATCTTTGCCGGTCGCGCCACCATCTTAGACAAATGGTGTCAAAAAACAGTTTTTTGACCATATCTCCTTTCCAACTCATTTTACGATAAATATATCTATATAATAAATTAAACTAGAGAAAATTTCTTATAATTTATGTAAGTACCTTTTTCTTGTAAAATTAATAGTTTTAGCGTACGGGCGCCGCAAAGACTACTTCAACATTAATTTTTGCCAAAAACTCATTTCCACACCACCATGAGGTAGAGTACGTGGCGCGTTTGTTTTTTTATCGTGGTATTCCCAGTAGGCCTAATCCACACGCACTATTCCAAAATGTAATGGATTATCTTCCGATTCGCTCTTCGCGATGGACCAGGTGTTGGCGGTGAAATTGTTTTCAGGACCGATCGAAATATCACAGGTAAAATTTTCTGCCATACTATCCGCGATGCAGGTTTATCGTTTTTCAATGCTATCGCAGTTTCTCAGAGTTCTCGTACGTGTGCTCAAAACGGTAATCGTAACAACAATATGGAATGCATTTATGCATAAAATTGTGAATTTTAGTTTAAAAAATGTGAAATTTAGTTTAACGCCATATAGATTTAAAATATAATATAGGTTAATCTATGTCTTGCTTTTACCACAATTTTCACCTTTCCAGTCAAATTTTGCAATAAAGAGAAGTTGCCTACCACTTTTCCTTACTTTAAATTGTCTTGATTCAAATAATAAAAATAATAATAATAATAAAAAATGATGAAAATTCATTTCCTCTTCATCCTTATCTTGTGATGGAACTTGCGAATTATCACAGGTACCACTGCAATTTGTACAGATAGCAGGCACTTCAATCCAGCCTTTCTGCAGCCGCGAACTTTTCAGACATCCCTTTTGCATTTGCAAGATACTAGTTTTAACAATGTTTTCCGGGGCTGGGGGCTCAGGGTGTGGTGACGGGAATTGGCCATTCTTGCTTCTTTTCCATCCCACTACTTAGCTTGGTGATAAGTTCTGGACAGATGTTGTCGGGCTGCAGCTTCTGTTGGTGGTAGCGATGCAATATTAAATTTATTTTTGTATGCTGATTTTGTGAAGCTGGCATATCCTAGATGTTTGAAGACATATTTTGCATAGTTTTCACATCACTGTAACTGTATATAATTTGGGAAAGAATTCGCCAGCTGTAGCAATGATCTCTGTACCAGCCTTTGGGTTTTAAATACCTGGATAACTTCGTTTAAAATCTGGATTTTTGCAGGTACATTAATACATTTTAATTTTTCTTGATGAAAGGGGTGCAGATGTTTGTGGCATACACTAAAGCGTGTAAGAATAATATGCATGATCTACCGCGGTTTGATCGATCATGCTTTTGGTTGGAATAGATTTATTGCAAAATTTTTTCTTTTCTGGTTTTAGCAAATATATGTTTTGAACACATTATTAGCGCCGTTAAAGAATAAGAAGATCTCCACATCTTCGCCGATAACATGCACGAATTGTGATACTGTGCATTGGCTGCGACAAATCATAAACACACTCGGAGTCATTCAACAATCGCTCTTTTACCCAATCATCGTACGTGCTCCTGGGACGTTTCTGAAATAGTGTTTTTTCATCGATAATTTATGTACGCTATACACAATATTTCGATCACTCAAATGCGTCCGTTTTATTTCCGCTATAAATTCTGCTGTTATTTCAGCAGCGTACAAAAAACAATTATCTTTAAATGAGGGAATGTTGGGCGTGGATCGCAGTTGTGGTTGAAAGTCGTGACGCGCTTCGCTTTTTAAACACAATGATTTGGGTTTCTCATTATTATGTCGTTTCCTACATATCTCGTGAACAGCGATAGGCGAAGTAGACTTTGTGGCGCCCATTGCATGAAACTGGTAATTTTACGAAAAGAGATACTTACGCCAAATTATGGAAATTTTCTCTAGTTTGAATTTATTATATATAGACTATGTTTATAAATAAATGAGAATCCGGAGAGATATGAGTCAAAACTGTTTTGTTACCATTAAGATGGTGGCGCGAGCAAAATATAGATACGAGGCAAAGTTCAAATTCGTAAAAGAGCACCTCGAAATCTATACTTGAATACCAATTTTCCGGCGAGTACACTATTTTCCAGCAACCACGTTTTTGGCGCAAAATGGCTGTACTAATATAGCTATATATCATCACAGGAATATTTAAACACCACAAAATCCGCGCGCCTAGAGCACACAATTTAACTAATAAACAAATTACAAACAAACTTAACACAAAACTGCAACAAATGCAAAAGGCCTTGGAATATATACAAGAGTGCAGCAACACAGCATACCATAAAATATACATGGGTAAAACAAATGGAAATGTGAACATTCGATATACGGGCACAAACGCTATAGAGAAACCCACAAAACACATACTGCAACTGCAACCACAAACACAATACAATAGAAAATACACTTACAATACTAAAACATTTAACAACAAAGACTTAAACATCCAAAGAAAACATACAGATATATAAACACAAAACCGTCAACTAATTAATGAACAAATCCAACTCCATACGTGCGTATATACTTAAACACCCAGATCCACACAAAATTAAATTAAAATTAAAATTTAAACACAAGTTAGTTTCCACAGAAGGTATATAGGGCGAAATACAGCAAAGTTATTGTAATTCGAAGGTACGTTTCATTTTTCTAATAAATTATTATTATGTAGAGGATCTTTGCAACGCTTATTCTATATTTTCCAAACTCAATAATTTTCTTCATCTATATTTGCATGCACTCTATAACTTTCTTCATCTATATTTGCGTACCACATAATTCTTCGTATAAAATTCCCAAAATTCCTAGTACTTTTATTACCCATGAAAAACCTAATCCCCAGTCGGACGGTTTTAGCACGCTGTATCTAGCGTGCGGTCAGTGCTGAATGGTCAGCTCGGATTTAAAAATCCGATGGTCAACCACTTCTCTTCAAAGTATCACACACTTTCTTCTACCAATCAAATCTATCCTTCTTATTTTAAAATTTCTTGTCACCACCCATCAACCTGAAGGGTTGCTGGTGAGTGACAAAGGGAGTGTAAGAGAAAGATCAGTTATTCCACTTCTTAAGCAACACTTCTACAGTACTTCTTACTCTACTCTTCTTCAAGAGTTGGTAGAAAAAGCAACATTATAATAAACATAGTTCGTGATAATTAAACCAAGTGTCGTTGCATTTAATAAATACTCTCAAATGCCATACTGTTCGTGATAATTAAACATCGTGTCTTTTAACACTCTATCAATTATAACTCACACCGATGCACACATTACTGCGGAAACGCCTTTTGCTTATAAGAAACTTAAATTGAAATTACAAATATTAAATCCAAAAATGGAAATAAGTGTCCACTTCCTTTGTTGCATTACGAATCCCTTCAAGAGGCTGAGAGCTGCCGGAAGTGGTACTCTGAACCCATCTACAGTAGAATCTCGATATGTTCTGCGAGAAAGCGGTGAAAATTTTAAGTTGGATTGAAGTTAGAGGTTACTGGAATATAATTTTAACGTAACGAGGTTCATGGATTTCAAGATTGGCAGGCGAAAAAGGAGATATTTCTTTGACTTGTTTGTTTAATTCAATTGAGGGTTGTGTTCCTTTTAAACAGGAATTAACCGTAATTGTTTCGTAGTGAATGATGCAGAAATTTATTATCAATCCTTCCCAGCTAATCCCGATAACTCAGCCATCAATTTATTTGTGAAAATAAGATATACGCAGATGTTGTTGGCTTCGATGGATTTTACCGCTGGATTTATTCAACATTTGAAGCTGCTTCTTTGTTGAGGATTGTCTTAATGGCTTCCACTAAGCTGGTAGGATGTGAAAAGTTATAAGCGAACTTCGTCCAAGTACTGCTCGGCAACTGCTTGTTTAATCCATGGCACTTTCTTTTTGGCCGACATTTTGTATGCACTTTTATCAGCGACATGTTCCTCTTTTGCTGAGTGGTCTTCCAGAAACAGTGTGAATGCAGTGCGTGGTTTCTTTGGTCCTGGGTACTTTTGGACCACTTCAGTCTTGAGTTGTGGATGTTTTCATAGAATTGTTCGACTTTACGTTCGTATTTGCGCATGCTTACGCTTTACGGTCCAGTAGCATTGTTTTAGCCGCTTCGGAAGTTGTTTGTACTTTTGACCGCAATGCGTGCGATTTCTGCCGTTTTTCGCGCGTCTTTCGTCTCGCGCGCGCATAATGCTTCGGCTTTAGCATCTTTTGAAATGAAGGAAAGCAGATTTAGCGGTGTAGGAAAATCGGGATGTTGTTTGAGGTGGCTTTTTTTTGCGCTTCGCCTTAAGGGTTCAGACATGTAGCGATACTGTCTTTATCGTTTCTGGATTGCGTCCCCAGATCTGCCGCATGCCGGCTGTGGCGGTACACCAAATGCAACCACGGGGGCAAAATATACATTTTAGACTTAGAATAATCACAGAATCTGTGGTATTTTTACCTTTTTCCCAGTCCAGTTTTTAGTTCTGGCCGCCGGGGTACGCGCAGTCTCTGGTAACAATTTTGAATACCACCATTTAAGGTAATTTGCAGGTCAGCTTTTGGAATCTCCAACCGTCAATCTCTGCCTCCAGGATCGCCATTTTCTTCAGTTGTACTGATTGGAATCAGCTCGTAAACATGGCTTCTTCTTCACTTTCTTCATCTTTGTCTGATTTTGGCGCTTTTTTCTTTTCTTGGTAGCTTCTTTTGGGACTGCTGGTTGTACTTTCTTCAAACACTATCATTTCTGGGTATTTTATGATGATTGCCATGATCCCCTTACTCTTCCTGCTTGGGGTAGTTATATTGTCCTCCAAATTACGGCATTCAGCTTCTCGGTTTGGATTTGTTCTTTTTGGCGAGGGTTTTACAGTCTCAGCCGGAGTCTTAAAGTACTTTAATCACTAGCTTTAGTCACGAGCTGGAACTTGGGTCTGTGCATTTGCCTACGGTGCAGCCAAAAACCATATGAAATGCCATGTGTCCGCGCGGCACGACATTTAT